TGCGTCATGTAGATGCACACGTGCCTCTGAGTCGAGCCACTGAGGAACATCGACACAAAAAACGAGCAGATGAGGCTGCTCAAGTGTTCCAAATAGACTTAGACTGGGAACACGAGGGTGAGCTCTTTCTGGCTCGATGTACCCGTGACCCCGAGCAGGAGCAAGGGAAAGCTGTGAGGAGTCCACCAACTAGGGGGTCCCGACTGCGGAGCGAAACTTGCCGGGAGCTGCAGTGCCGTCGTGGGAAGGGCAGGAAATGAAGTGGCGGGGCCAAGGGGGGCGGAGCCTGGGAGGGTCTTGGGGTGTCCGGGGGAGGGGTTGGAAGTTTGGGGGCAGGAGGGTGATACACGTGTGAGTGTGTGTGTAGATGTGTGTATGTGTGTGTGCACTGACACCAAACTGTTTCAAAACCAGGTAGGATTGTGTCATGAGGGAGGAACCTCAGGTTTGTGTCATGGGGGGGGAAAGAAAACACGTCCCACTTCGGTGCCCCTGATCCAACCTCAGGAAGTCTAAAACCCCATCCTATCCCCATCCTTCTCCAACCCCACAGTTCCATTCCATTTGTACCAAAAAGTCCAGCCAAGGAAAACTCTCTCAGACTTCTTTTGGAGCTCAGGAAAGCAGCATTCTTCAGTGCAGGGCTGCATGTCTGCGGAACAGCTCCCAGAGTCCTGCAGGAACCTTATTCACCACAGCCGGCTGATCTAGACCTACGACATGTTCCTGATCGCCTCGGAACATGGCAAACATTTCTTAGAACTGATCACAGTGTTCCTCTGTTTATCTGCGTCTGCACAAGAGATGGGCCCAACCCTCCCAGGAGCGTTTTGCTGGTCTCTGGTGCCTCTTTGTGGTGGCTGGAGAGAGTTTTTTCTGGTGAGCTTTAGTTGAACCCACATCCTTTACTCCCAAACAGGGACCTTGTTCGGTGAAGGGGTGACACGGTTTGACTCAGGATCGGCAACTGAACCGGCGACAATAACGCTCTGGATCCCCTCCCCCTCCCGCCCAGGTAGGGAAGGAGAGAGAGAGTGAGGGAGAGAGACTTTCTTAATGGAAAAGTAAACTAGACAGCTTGTTCAGGAATGTGCAAACCCCTCTTGCCTCCCCCCACCCCCACAGCTCCCTCGGCACCTCCTGAGCTGTGAGCAGCCCCGAAATGTCCCAGAGCTGCTGGAGAGAGGAGGAGCGGAGGGGGGAGTGATGAGGGCCAGGAGGGCAGGAGCCGAGGGATCGACGGGGAGGGATGGATGGATGGATGGAGGGATGGATGGATGGATGGATGGATGGATGGATGGATGGATGGAGTCGTCAAAAATGCTGACCATAGACAGGAGAGAAGGGGAGAAGAAGCAGGAAGGAAGTTGTTTTCTGTGATCTCTGATCTTACACCGAGCTTACATAGATACAAGGAATAGAATGCTTTGGTCAATGTTGCTGTCCGTCCAGTCCAGCCCCCCTACCAAGGGGGGGTCATAGATACAACTCTGCCCCTCCCGGCTGTGCCTGAGGACACAGGGCAAAGACGTGACCTTGGAGTCTCGGCAGTAACATAAACATCCCATTGTTATCAGCCCAGTGGCTGGAACACTCGCTGCTGCTGAAAGAGCTGACTGAGGGAAAAAACACCAGTACAAGGAAAATTGGCTTCATCCTGGCTGAAACCAGGAGAGGGTGGGACGGGGATAGGTTGGAAATGGAAGCTTCCTGAGGTTGGATCAGTGGCACCGAGGTGGGACGTGTCCCCTCCCACCCCATGACACAAACCTGATGTCCCTGCCATGACACAATCTTACCTGGAATTGGAACAGTTTTGTGTCAGTGCGCACTCATGTACACACATGAACACACATGTACACACATGAACACACACGTGTATCATCCCCCCACCTCCCCCAAACTTCCAAGCCCTCCCCCGGACACCCCAAGCCCCTCCCAGGCCCCGCCCCCCTTGGCCCCGCCGCTTCATTTCCTGCCCTTCCCAGGATCGCGCTGCAGCTCCCGGCAGG